GTTCAGCTGGTGTCTTGGCTTTCTGTGCCTTTTTACACCTCCCTTTCTTCATGTTCAATACTTTTTCCCTGTGCCATTCCACATTATTACAAATAGAACTCTGTTCAAGTTCCAGATGAAGTTTCTTTGACTTGTATTAGAATGAGCTCAGGATCACATCATGTTTGATCTACAAACTAACCCTGAAGCAGCAATTAAATGTGTGCCGTTAGCAGATTATCACCTACGTTTGAGGCTAATGGTAACTTTAAACTACACTGACTGTAAAATTCAGCAAAAGAACGCTGAGTATTATTAASCTGTACTGATAGTTAACTAAAAGTGTTTTCCAGATGTGATAAATCCTYCTTTAGGAGTGTAAATACCGCAACAGTCTTCCTTCCCTCTAACTGCAACAGGCCCCAGTGTCTTTGTGCTTTTTATTAAGAAAACCTTGAAGAAATTAGGACGAGCAAAGCAGCTCTGTCCAAGAATCAGTGGGCAATTAGAACCATCCACGGTTTACGTTTGTTTTACTTCGGTCAAACGTTTTAGTCCCACAACCTTCCTGATTCTTCCAAGAAGTCATTGTTGTTGAGCACAGGAATTCARACCATGCTGTTTGTGTTGTCTTCATTTAACTGGCCTAATAAAAACTGACAGGACTTTTTGTTTCATTTTATTTATTTGCTTATATTGCAGAAAGCACAGTTTACGGGCAGATTTTATGTTTTCCAAAAAATATTAGAGGTCCTAACGAGTTCATCTCTGAAGACAAAACTGATCTTATTGAATTTGTTTCAGTGCAGGAATTTGTTTACTTTTATTTTTTATTTATTAAAATGTGGATTCAACATCACCCTCCCACCCTTGCTGTCAACACACAGGAAAGCAGTAATGACTCAAATCTATCAAGCAATTTTACATTTATCTTGCATCGATTCAGAATAAGGTAAATTTTTCACCCTCCTCCAGCCATTAAGTGGCATTTTGATCCAGCAGGAGGTATTTTAGTGCATGTTCTGGAGGTGACCACTGGATGGCGCTTTATAGCGCTGATCAGTGTAACCAKAGACTCTACTGGGTGAAATAATTTCGAAAGACTCACAAATAAACAAGCCATAAGCATGAATTAGGTCATGTTGGGGCTGTGAGCTTTAGTAAAAGTTTACAAGAGACCTAACAACATAAAACTGAATCTATGGGACCTGGACTTTAAACTAGTTCGTGTCAAATGTGCACAGTGTTCAAATTAGTGTTTTTTTAGTCAGCCATTGGTGGCATGGAGGCTGTAGCATTGACACAAGTTCCACCTTCACACCCTTCTGCGTTCATATTGTTTATCATGAGGTAAATACCCAAATAAAATCACAGTAAAAACTACATAAATCAATGAAAAGCAACACAGAGGGATAACTATGATGCAATTTTTATTAATTTATTTGAAATTTATTGCAAAATGTCTGGTGCAAATATTTCATTAACAACTTACTTGCATTTTATGATGTCTGGAAATTATCTGGGGACCCTCACTTGAGGTTTCATGACCCGCAGAGGGGTCCTGACAGGTCTGTTGTTGTGAAAATTGTTCTAAATGCACATGAACTAATGAATTTTTGTTTTACTTATGAACTATGTTCCATTTCTTTCGCATGAATTTTGACCACAAATAAATCCAGTTTGCACCATTGTGTATTTAACTTAAAAACTGTTGTAAAAGGTGAATCTGCTTGACGCTGGTCGTCGACCATAAATCCAAACCTCTGAGAGGAGCGAAACCACTTAAACGAGTACGAGTGTTTCACCTGCGTAAAACTCTCGGCTCCACCTCGGTCGTCACTCGAGAGTTTTCTGTTAGACAGACGAACTTGACTCTTGAAGAGAGCCACTCAAGCTGACGGAATAACGTGAGGAATGACACAAATGAACTGGACTTCAGCTCCTCTGAGTCCCGTGAACAGCCCTTTTCTTGATTCCTTTCCCACCACTTGTGTTTAGCAACTTGATCTGTTGTGACTGAGGTGCGTTGGTGGGCCCTGCCCTTCTTATCTGAGGAACGTTTCACATGTGGGTTTATTTGTAATACCGGGGGGGACGGAGGAACGATGGGCGAGGCCCAGAGAGCCAGATAGAAGAAGAAGAAAGTCCAAATAAATCAACCTGAAGTTTCATTAGGTCTGCTCAGCTCTGTCTATTATTGGACCACAGACCTCAGCCACAGCTCCTGGTGAAAGTCCACAACGACACTGATGGAGAAAACACACTCACTCACAACACCCTGCATACTTTGACTTTCCCCRTGAATGTGCAGTCAGTTTGTGAGCTGGCATTAAAGGAGCAGCGGAGGGAACGACGGGCCCTCACAAACGCAGCCAGGCACATCTTCCAGCTCAGGATGCTTCATGAGGTTGTGGCAAACTGAAAATGATGTCCTGGTAAGAATTTACAGTGAAACGTCTGGAACACAGTGAGAAGATGCCACTTTTAATATACTTTTTCTTTCCCCCCCTTTCATCTTCAAAACAAGAGTTCCTTCAAGTTTTGAGGTTTTAGGTAAATCCCTGGCTGGACTGGAAATGGCGGCTTGTATTTTCCATACAAACTGGGCAGGATGTAAATCAAAAATATTAAAGATCCGCAGCAACGATTTGTCGATCTGCTGAAAAAAAAGCAAAGCGTCAGATGAAATGCCAACCAGATGTTTAGCTTCCAGTGACAGAGAGCTTTTTAAAACTCCTACTAATTTAATATCAAACACATTAAAGTTACAGACCTCGCTCTTCCAGCAAAGACAAAAGCATCACAGTTGAACAAAAATGACAAGTTAAAGGAATGCATAGAATTTTGGACTGCGATCATCTTATGTTGAAAAATGGTGTTTTAACCTTTTTGGTCATCATTATTTGTGACACTCAGCTACCACCACAYCTATGGAGGTAAATTTGTGTTTTTATGATTCAATCAAACAAAAAGCATCTTACACACACATTTAGCTCAATGTTGGTCAAACTGTTATAGCCACATTTGTGTTTGCTAAGTTTTGGCTGAGAATGCTAATCGATGGCAGCCATTGTGACTTGAGGTGACTTCAAAACTGAATTAGTAATTGATTTACTCTTTATCCAATAACTAACTTCTTAAAGTTTTGTAATAATGCAGTGGTTCATGAGATATTTTTCTAACTGTCATACAAAAGGGGGAAAAGGTTGTTTAGGCTGTCTCACTGGTTTGGTCTCGCTGTATTTAGTAACTTTCAAAACAAAACTTTTGCATAAAGAAGAAAACAAATATTTCATTTTTCTAAAAAGCAGTTTAATGAAGTTATTTCATAAAAAAACCCACTTGTATCCATAATCCACATGTACTGTAAAAATACTTCTATATGCTCTTTATAATCTAAGTCAAATGCTGAACTCCACTGTCTGTGTTCACTTCTCAGAGTTAAAACAGGGAGAACTAAAGTGTTCGTTCATCCATACGTCTTTCTATTTATTTACATAGTATACAGAGAAAAGGACATGTTTTGTGTTGATATTTTCATAAACTGGATAAAGTTTCTGCTGTTAAATGGCACTGAGCCAGCAGGCTGGAGAACACAATAACTGCATATAATCAAAGAAAAGTCATCACATCACTGCAGACTGGGGGGCTTAAAGGGATAGTTCACATATTAAGTGGGGTTTTGTGGAAAGTTATTAAACATTAATGAGCCAACAGTTGGTCTGAGTGGAACCAAGACTAAATTAAACTGCTGCCATTGTAAAAGGTCTCCAATCTTTTATTTATTTTTAATCATTTGTATTTCATTCATTAAAAGAAACAACAAAAATGTCATTAAAAAAGCATATCATACAATCTTAAAAACTAGCAATTTCTATAACCACATAAAAAAATCCTTTATGTCATCTGGAACTCTGCATTACATGGTTGTTTACATTGAATGATGTGATTATTTGCTAGCAGAAACGGCAGCAGCTAGCTGTAGCTCTTCAACCTAAACGGTGAGCATAAAAAAAATTAAGCCAGGTTGATCAAAGAACTATTGAAGATGGATTCAAAGTACTGAAACATCCTTCAACACATTTTGTTGTAATTTTTGTATCATTTTAAATGCACTCAATTTACAACTGCAATACATTTTAAAGATTGTATTTTTGTATAAAAATGTACACGTTAATCTTGTTTTCTTTTCTGTTAAAAAAAGCTAAARATACAGTTCAGTGACATTTGATATTTTCCAACAAGTACTGTAACATCTTTGCAGGTGAACWTTTGAAATTCGGTCCAAAAGCAAAATACTTGAGCTTTTTGTTAAATATCCAGCTTTGTCCTCAAACATCACAAGACCTTTGTCGTTCCACCCAGATCCTGTCTGATTTGGCTCCCTGAACGAGGTCTCATGTGTTCAGGCTTTGGCTCTCCTCAGTGATTGTCTTCTGGTTGATTGTTTGGTGGTAGTTTTGTCCAGCAAAGCTCTTCAGGTTGATGGGTACTTCTTCTTGCCTGATGCTTCCTCCTTTTCGAATCTTGTCTCTACGGACCTGGAAAGTCCCGCTGCTGTCCTTTGATGAGACGGTCTGGCCTCTGAACAGCTGTGCTTGCTGCTGACAAAGACCAATCTTGCTGAGAAGGATGAATATATCTCCCCTGAAGGCCTTGGTGAAGATGGCGTAAAGAAAAGGGTTGGCACAGGAATTGAGGGGGTAAAAGAGCACCAATAAGATCTTAGAGTTAGAGACAGTGATAAGGGGTTGATCTAGCACAGCTGACATGGCGTAAAAGGAAATGGGAGCCATGCACAGGAAGTCAGTAAAGATGAGGACCGCCATGCGCTTGGCAATGTTGGTGTCCTTGGATCCTGAGCGGTAGTGAGGGTTGTGGACTGTGCAGTAGATCTTGAAGTAGCAAGCGCAGATAACAAAAAAAGCCAGGATGTTCAGAACTAATACCAGTAATATGTAGACCTGAGCCGCTGTGGACTGGGTGTCCATTGGAAGACAGATGCTGACCTTCTGGTAACTGCTCACTCCAACCAGTGGGAGCAGGGCCAGGAGGAGGCAAACGATCCAGCCACCTAACATGACGGCTGCTGCGTGGTGCAGCCGAAGTTTGCGATCCAGCCGCATGGCAAAGGTGATGGCGTACCACCTTTCTAGAGTGATCACAGTCAGGGTGTAAACAGACAGTTCACTGGCAAAGACGGTGAAAAATCCAGCGAGTCCACATCCAGGTCCTGTCTGCCAGTCTATGGCGTGGTTGAAGTACTCRGAGCGAGTGTGGAGGTCCACAGAGGCGATGAGGAGCAGATAAATCCCCATGCATAGGTCTGCAAAGGCCAGGTGGCACATGAGGAAGCGCGAGACGGAGAGCTTGTAGTGGCTGGTGAGCAGCACCAGGAGAACCACCACRTTTCCAATAACCGCCAATAAACTCACAAACCACACAGAAACCCGCAGGAAACCAAATCCCATTATGTCCTCACAGGGATTGAACTCATCTGGCACTGGAGAACATTCCACCTCCTCGCCCTCCTCGCACACCACATAATCGTAACGACTGTCAAAATTTTGGCTGCTGTCCTCCTCGGGATTCTTGAGGGTCTCTCCRAAACCCACTTCTTCATCTTGCTGGCCTCCAAAGTAGGCGTGGTAGTGGAGGCTTCCCTGGAAGTCTCCTCTTTTCCAGTCAGGCTGCGACTCTCTGGTACCTTCGCTGCTCTGCTCCTGGTCTGGGGGTGTTTCCATAACACTGTCCCCGTGAAGGGATGGCATGCGGAGGGGCCCAACAGAGCGCTTGTGGTGCTGCTCAATGAAAGACGTAAGGTTACAGATGATGTACTCCAGAAAGCTGAAAAAAACCCATGGAGATGAGTCAAGTCAGATTGCATCCAATAGATAATGTCCTAGTTCTTAACAGTTCTGGAAAAAAATATGGTACATCTTTTAGTTTCAAAATTTTACATATCAGGGCATAATAAAGGTCTGATTTTTACAAAATTCTAAAATTTATTCAGACCTAAACTAACCAGTCTCAAAAAAACCAAACACGTTATTGTTGGGAAAAGTTGCCAGCACAACTTTTGTTTGCAAAGTTTCTTCTCAATGAACCACAAGACTTATGGAACACTTTTCTTTGGATGTTCTTTGTGAGACCAAAGCAAAGTTTGGTGAAGCTAAACACAGCACATCAACACAAACACCTGTTACTAACTGTGAAGCACAGTGGTGGTGAGGTGATAATTCAACCCATTCTCACTCCCGAGTCGTCACATATTGACGTTTTTCAAAGGTCCCTTTGCGTCCAATTTTGACGCATCAGGTACCCCCCTTGCGTCATATTTTGACGGGATGGGGCGGAATCTGTTGTCGTAATTTCTGAAAGTGTAGAAAATGCACAAATACTACCGTCCCAAAGCGTGAAATTACGTTTATTCACTTTAGACATCCTGTCCCAGACCCTAGTACCTAAAATTAACCATTAACCCTGATACCTAAAATTAACCATTTTTAGAAAATGTAGGAAATTCATGGCAACTACGTGTTGCAAAGCCTAAAATTACCTAATGTTCACTGTAGACATCCTATCCCTGACCCCAGTCCCTAAACTTAACCATTTATCCTGATCCCTAATGTTAACCTCAGACCCCCGACCCAAAGACCCCTGGTGGCGCAACCCGGAAAAGCCGCGGGCGGCAAGGACTGACGCGAGGGGGGTACCTGATGCGTCAAAATTGGACGCAAAGGGACCTTTGAAAAACGTCAATATGTGACGACTCGGGAGTGAGAATGTGTTGGATAATTTGGACTTCTTTTCAGCCACAGGACTTGACCACCTTGCAATCACCAAGTCAACCAGTAACCCTTTTGCATACTAAAGTATCCTAGAGTTAAATTTGATGCCAACTAAAGCTTGGCAGAAACTGGGCCATGCAGCAGGACAATGGGCCTCATGCAAGAACCGTTCGTACGAACAGATTTGTTCTTAAGTTGTTCGTACGAGTGATTTAGGAACATTTGTGGCATTCACCTATTTTCTTGTATTCTAAGATTTTCTTCAGATATTCACAAGTGGTCCAGACCTGTCGTATATTTTTCGTGCAGTCAGTCTGCTGTTATCCAGACTGATTTTCTTCGCTAATAACTTTATATTTCATTAGCTTGAAGATATTTCGAGTTGAAAATAAATCACACTCCATAATTATTTTGAAAATAGGCTATTCTGTTTGAATTAGAATTAGAATTTTAAATGTAATAATGTAGATTACAATATAAATTGTTTAAATTAAATGAAATTGGCGATTAATGCTGTTCTATAAACACTACAATATTAATATGAAGATCTCAAACTAAAAACCAACTTAAATTAYGCATTAGTTTGGAAACAGGTCAGGCGATAAGCYGYGGGTCATTGTYGCTAAGCTGCACTATTATCAAGAATGTGTAGAAATATTGCGTCGGGCTCGGAGTCGTGGTCCTCTTCGTTTTAAAGAGACACCGATCATCATCACATCTGACTACACGGCAGCTGTTGCCAGGGCTCGAGCGGCGTTTGCGGAGGTGAGGAGGCTTCTTCGTAAACAACGTGGTGTTTGCCACGGCTTGCTTTCTCCTGCACGGCTCCGCTTCTCTCATGGGGAGGAAAACAAGGAGTTCCTGGATGCCAATAAAGCAATGGACTACGTTAAAAAGAGGATCATCTCAGCGACGGACAGCGAGGACCGGCGTTGACCGCAGGTCCAACTCTCATCGATCCATTATGACTGTCAGGTTGTAATGAACCTTCTAACTTCATGTCCCGCGTTATATCTTGATTTAATTTTAGTCTTTATTCTGAGGGACAACATTCCTCTTTTTGTTCTATGTATGAGAGTTTCACAGGGGGTCTGTCCAGATCTTGGTTAGTGATTTATTTATCARKGCTGCAAGGAGCATAAACAGTAATAATACTTTAAAGTAAGGGAACCCCTTCTTTTATTTATTTTTTGGTTATTGTTATTTAGTTGTGGCGGGAGTCCAGACAGGGATTTAAGCCCCCCAGTATAAGCACAAATGTGTGGATTTTTTGTTTGTTGGGTTCTCCGTGTTTTTTTTTTAGGAGAAAGGGGTGGGACTATACCGGATCTATTTGTTTTGAGAATGTCTTTTTCAAGTTTTTTTTTTTTTGTGATGATTTGTGGATATTGTACTACAGTCCGATTGATCATACATGAGCAGTTCTGATATTAACAGGTTCATCAACAGWCACCCAGTTAACTGCTCTTCTTCTGAATAAATGAAAAGTATTTAACACAGTTGTTTACACTTAAATTAAAATATTTGACAAAAGGAAAACCAGAGCAGGACCATAGAGAGATGAATATGATTTAGAAATTTATTTCTGTGACTGTACGACCCAGAGCAGACACGACATTAACAGTCGTCATTTCATTCCTTGGCTTTAGCAGGTGTGACGCTGCTAAAAATGACAGATTTTCTCTTCTGGATCTCTGACAGACGGACTTCAATCTCTGAACTCCTGAAGTTCTTTTTTTGCGATGTCATTTATGAAAGGACATTTCCTGGTATGTGAGGCAGGAATGTAAAGCCTTATATGGTGTTTTTGGGGTGGTAATTAGGCTAATCACCTCTCCTCGTGCACGAGCACCTGGATACACATTCATCAGTTTACGCAGCTCATTTACACACTTTTCCTGAAAATAGAAGAGTTTGTTGAATCTGACGTGGCATGTTCGTACGAACCCTTCGTACGAACAAAAGTAAGAGAAATTTAGGATAAGAATACAAAAATGTTCTTGCACGATGCCCAATGATCCCAAATGTAGCAGCAAATCTACAACAGAAGAAAAAAAATCTGAAAAATGTAGGTATTTCAATGACCCAGTTAAAATCTAGAGTAGACTATAGCCTGATTGAAATGTTGCAGTGTAAGAGAGCTGTGGATAACCTGTCTTCAAATTTTAATGAACTTAGAGTGGGCTAAGTGTTTTTTTTAACTACAATGTTAAAGGCTGATAGTCATACATACTGTATAACCACTACTATTGTTACAACTGTTTTTACAAGCTACTGAATCCATTTTAATTGAATTTTTATTTAATAATTAAACTGTGTCTCTGTATATTTGAGGTCAGATTTAAATAATGTTAGAACCTGATCAGAACCAGAATATTTGTATTTTTAAGGTCCTGATAATGTAAAATCTGAGACTGAAAGAGGTTTTACCTTCTTATTTCAATGACTAAGAAACACATACAGTACCTGGCTGCAACCCTCATTAGCAGAAATATACTAAGACATTTGTGTACAGAATTGAAAAGACAACAGTCGTGTTTTTACAGACATTATTAGTCTGACTCAACCTCTTCCCAACAATAATAGGAGTGAGTGACGCTGATTACGGCAGCACTGTAAGAACATTAAGGTCACGTCAAAGAGTTGATTCAATCTTTGCCAAAATCCACATGACACAAGTGCAGCTGCCACCCCTCACGGTAGTAGGTCATCCAAATACATAAAAACACTAAGAACCACTTCACCAACTTTTCAAACCCTTATAATCACCAATTAGAGAAAGAAAAATAACAGATTTGGTGGAACACGCACCCTCGTTTCTTTTTTAGGTTCTTGAAGCCACAGCAGTGGCTGGGGTAGGTGAGATTGGCTTTGACGAGGTGCTTGAATGTCTTGATGGCTGGCAGTTTTTTGAGGGCCCAGGTATCCCGTGCAATCAGGTCCCGCAGAAAGGCCATGCCTGTGGAGGGTAGGGATGTGATCCTTGTTTGAGATATATCTCTGAAACAAAGACAAGGAATTAACCAGCTGAGCAAAATACATTAAATACCATAACTTATTAACTTCTACAAAAAAAAGCTTCACATAAAAATGTCTATTCAGCCAATGTTCCAAGTGAGCTGAGTCAAGCTGAAGACTTGAAGTCAGCAGACTGTAAGTCTCTGAAAGGCCAGAGAGTGATATCAATCGCAAGAGCAGCTTCTTTACAAGAATCAAATTCAACACTTTTAAAACCTCGCAACTGCAAAATTTGTTCTTGTTATTTACTTGGTTAAAAAAATACAATCCATCCAATAAAATGGCAACGCATAAACCAACATTGTGGTACTATGAGGAGGTGCTTGTTGGCTGAAGACAGAATTTAGACCAAACTAAACCAAATGGACTAGGTTTAAGGGCTCCAACCAGATGAGGGAAGATGGTCTCAACTAATTTCTGGAAATTGTGACTGAGGATGGTGAATGTTGTGACTTTATTTCACTTATTTGCTCATTGCTGTGTTGTGTTTGCCTTGGATAGAAGCTTCTACTGACAGACCATATGGAAAACCACAAAGACTGCAAAGACCAAAACGGAGTTGAAGCAAGTTGTGGTGAGATGATGGTGGAGAAACGGCATGAAATAATGAACTACGCCGTTGTTCTGCAAATCCTAACCAAAAAAAAAAAAAAAAGCTAACACCGCTAACTGTCACAGATGAGCCTGTATTTTTTTTTACTTTTATTATTATTATTTTTTGATGATGCTCAGGAAACTAACTTGTTGTGTCTTGGGTCTTTTAGTAGGAAAAACATTCAAAGCAGATGGTACTAATGAAGAGAAACGGACAGGGTGTTTTAGAATGACTTGCATTGAGAGATGAGAACTTTTGTAGAGATCTAAAATGAGCCATTGCCAAAATAAATTTAGAACAAAAGGCTAAAGTAGAGGCATTACTGTTGCTGAAGGTTTTACACAACTGACTGGGGTGTACTTAAATTTCACATACTTCCCAAATATGCAGTTATTTATCTTCCTGCTTCGTACCCCCAGTTGATTAGTTTAATCAAAACATTCTGTGTCCCAGCAGACAAAAGGCAACTTTAGGGTCATGAGTTTACTTAACTTGATTACAAAAAATAGAAAAAAACTGTGTTAAAATGTGTGAATTTTTCTTAGTGTAGCAATAAATGGTAAAGGACTTGAACTTATATAGCGCCTTACCCCGGATTTACACTACATGCGTCTCCGCTGCGCTGCGCAGCGCAGTTCGCAGCTGTTCGTTTGTGCCCCAATATATACAGCCTCCGCTGCGCTCAGCTCCGCTCCAGTGCGACACACAGGAGGGAGCGTGTGGAGGAAGGAGATTGCGCAATAAATCTAGTGATAAATGTGGAAGTCAGAGCAATCTAAATTCCCTCTGGGATCAATAAAGTATTTTTGAATTTGAATTGAATTGAAAAAATAATTAATTCGGTGAAAGGCGAATCTAAACACAGCTGAAAACATTGATATAAAGGCTTTTGATATCTATGTTGAAACTGTATCGCTGTCATCTTTTTGAAACTTCTGATTTCAAAATAAAATCCACGTGTATCGTGCTTGTAAACATATGCTTCATGCTACATGTTGCCATCTGCTTCCCAAACAGAACGATACATTCTGACAGTATTTGTGTAGAAATATATCCATATAGTAATTAATATAGCTGGGATTTCAACATTATTCCGATAAATTATTCCGCCTAATAGTGTCTTATTTTGAAAATATGGATGTTGTGCTCGTTCTTCTTCCTGTTGGTGCGATGTAATCTTTAAAAATTGACTCCGGCACAGCTCTGGCATCCGRCAGAAATAGGATCGGATCTAACTTTGCCAGATCGCCGTCCGCTCACCGAAGCTCACCGCCACCATGCAGAGCCGGTGTAAATACACACAGTGATTATAATGGGTGCGTATTTGCTGCGGAGGTCAGACCGGAGCGGAGCGGAGCCGGAACGCATGTAGTGTAAATTAGGGGTTATCCAGTCCACGTTGACCCCAAGGCGCTTTACACTTCAGGCATTCACCCATTCACCCACTTGTAGTGGTAATCCACAACTGCTCTGGGGCACACTGACAGAGGCAGGGCTGCCATGCACCGACCCCACCGGACCCTTTGACCACCATCAGCAGGCAAGGTGGGTGAAGTGTCTTGCCCAAGGACACAACAACTGAAATGAGTGGAGCAGGGGATTGAACCGGTGACCTTCCAGTCCCAGCATTTTAGCATTTAATTTGTAACATCTAAATAAAAAAATGTCTACATTCTGATGTATAAAATATATAACAAATGTAAAAAGAAATAAGAATCATTAGAAATGTGAAACTGATGACTTGCAGGTCAGCTGCACCCAGAGACTCTCTATTCTTTTGCACTGAGGACCTACTGCGCATGTCCAGATGTTAACATGAGTCTTCAGTGGTAAAGATTTCTGTGCTCTGGATTGAACTGGAAGTGACTAAACACGACAATGCTCAGGAGTAAAATGAAAGTTTACCCATTAATAACTATAAAAGATTTATCTTGCACATTTAAGACACATTTTTCTAAACATTTTATTTTATTTTACTTTTGTATTTTTTGTGTCCCAAAAATCGCCCTAGTGCCCTCTGTTGACCAGCTCCCACAGCCCACCAGTAGCTCTCTACCTGGGGTCAGTTCTGACTCCACGGCCAGAAGCTCTGTTCAGAGTCAATCGAGTCCAATGGTTGAAGGTTCTACTCCTTGTAAAGGCTCGCAGGTTACATCCAGGGGTAGAGTGAGAATTTCTCTCAGATATAAAGACACTTAGTTACTCAAAGTCCTCCGTTATATGTTTTAGTTCAAAATATTTAGAGGTGAAACCTAGAAATCAGAAATGTGCTGCTAAGTTTAAAAATCAAATATTATGGCATGTTACATGTTTTTTAATATTTCTGTATAAGAATAATTTGATTTGAAAGAAAAAAAAAGGTAAAAAGGAGGAAAAATARGTAAATTGAAATTACACTGGAACTCTATACAGTTTCACATGCTACAGATTTTGGTGCTGTTGGTCGTCTCTTAAAAGGGAGCAAAAGACTTTCAAATTTGTTTATAGGATTGGTAGGAACAGCAACTATCAAGGGCAGAATAATCTCTGCGTTGCTGTGGACTGAGGGCAGTCTACCTCAACATCCTAGTGTTCAGAGTTGCTGTTTTCTAACTGGTTAAGTATTTGAGTAAGGCATCCATTTAATGCATGTTTTGCTGTTGGGAGGGGAAGATGTGGTGTGATGTCACATATGGGCTTCCGTAGATCGTGGTGTTTATGAGTATGCACTGTACATCGAGGCACATTATTAGAAAATAAACTTGAGTTCTACAAGCTGCACTAGCCTAGTCCACACTGCCTTCTTAATAAAGATAACACCTTGAAACCCTCCAGTCTAAAAGCAGTGTTCTGGGTAGTAGCAACTGCAAAATACATTCTAGCCCTATTCTCAATCAGGCCAACTGTTTTATATAMAATTTGCAGTTTTATTTTAAGTTGACACGGTATAAAATGGACTAATATCATGTATAGAATAATACACTGTGTTTGTATGCTAATATGATACAGAGCACTGTCCTTTTAAATAAACAAATGAAATGAAATGAGATCTAGGAGCAAATGACCAGAATCCAAGACAAGTCTAGACATAATAAGACCAGAGACGAATAATAGATGGATCAAACAACAGCTTCCATCTGTTTCCTTTTGTGGACCCCTCTGTCCTTCATATTTAAGTAATTATGTTATTTCTTGAGCCATCATTCCTAAAGCAGGCCAAACTCGTTGGGCCATGCAGGGGATTGACCAACATCCTGTGCGATTCCATTATCAGGACACTCTCTTTCTACAGACCAAGCAGAGTTTATGTTTGCTTTGCTTTCCTAATTCGGACCTCTAACTGATTCATTAAGTTGGTAAAATAAATAAACACAATTGAGATAGTTCCATATATTGCTAAGAACTTGTTCTGTTAGTCCCATTTGCACTCCCCACTTCTCTGTGCTCATCTTGGTTTTCCTCTCATGGGGCTCATTGTGCAAGGCAGCATGGATCCTGAGAGTGTTAAGTCTGATTTTGTCATTTCCAGATGTTTAGCTCATGACCTCACAGAGGACATGTTCCTTAGTGGAACTGAGGTAAAAGATCTGCTCACAGATACACATTTAACTAACTCACTTCTAAGAGGCAAAAGCAGAAACCACGTTGCTGTGGTTAAAAGGTCTGGGCATCATGCATCTCTGGATACAAAGAATAATAATAAAAAAAGACAACAGTGTCAGAAAAAAAGTCCAAAGTTCCGTCTATGAATGTTCGCACACAGTATGTATCAGCTTTCCTGGTCACACCGGCACAGATGTAGGCGAGTGATCCTAACTTTATCCTGTCTTGCAGACATGCCTCATYCAGTCTGCACATTATGAATGAGGACATTGTTGAAATTCACAGTAACTTGACACAGCGTGATTAATCACTAGACCAGGACTAATAGTTATTGACTTGTCCTCTTTTACAGTTTGACACAGGTGGTATATTTGTGGAAAAAAACATTCCGGTAACACTTTATAATAACTACACCTTATTTAGCCTTAATTAATCATTAATAAAGGGTTACTTAACCTTGAGAACATCATTAATTAAGGATGATTTAGACTTAATAAGCTATGAATTAACACATTTATTAACGTTTTACCCATAAAGACTAATTACTTCTAAAACGAACATACTCATTGTTTACTCRTGCTTAATAACTCATGAGTTAACTATTCTGTATTCTGTGTATCGATATGAAAATGTTCATATAAACATATTTTCACACCATGTGTTAGACACGTATTATTGGTTAGAAAATGTTTGAACTGACTATCTACTAACCCTGCAGTGCATCAGTAATTAAGGCTGGTGTTAATAGTTAAATCTTTTTGTGAACCCTTCTAAAGTGAAGACCATTAAAATACTCTTATTTTATCAATTTCTGAAATTTCCCATGAGGCTTTGCTGCCTGAGCATACATTTAAGTTCCTGGTTAGAGCAAAGCCTCATGGGAAATTTCAGAAATTGATAAAATAAGAGTATTTTGGGTCTTATAAAGTTTGCAAATCTACATATGTGCTTAAACCTAATCTAAACATATCCCTGTAGTTACTTGTTGTATCATGTTTTATCTTAATATGATTTAAAGATAAAATCAGGACCATGAGTGAAAACTATCTGCACTACAGCCCGTTATGCAGTGACTGGATGAACAGATGTAATGATTGTAAGTGGAAATGCAGTCTTTCTACAACAGAGGACAGAAAAGTACAAGCTGGTAACTATGATTTACAAAGACTTAAATAAACATAAATAGTCCACTTTAGAAGGGTTCACAAAAAGACATAACTACTAACACATGCCTTAATTTCTGATGCACTGCAGGGTTAATAGATAGTCAATTCAAACATTCTCTAAACCAGAGGTGCCCAAAGTGGGGCCAGTGGGCCAAAATTGGCCCGCCAAGCCATTTGATTTCGCCCACCAGCAGTTGTCCTGGTTACTAGATTGTAATCTTCTGTCTTATGTAGAAACAATATATTTCCACTTAGTCTTTTCAACCATTGGTCCAACTACCTGTACACGGAGCTGTAGTCAGATAGTCTTATAATACTCAATTTATCTTTGAGTTATGTTAAGATTAAATATAAAATGCAAGTAACTACAAGAGACATTTAGATTAGATTTAAGCACACGTCTAGATTTGCACATCTTATAAGACCACATATACTCAAATTTTAAATTATGAAAAGTCCCATGAGCCTTTGTTGCCCGAGCAAACGTTGAATGTTTTCCGTGTCCATGGACTGAAAACAAACAAACAAAAGAATGTGGGCAAGGGCAACCATACTGGATGCTAGCTTAATCATAAAAAATAAAACAACTTTACTTAATAAGTATTTGCATTTCATGTATTATATTATTGCGTTTGGCCCGCAGCCCTCAGATTCATTTTAATTTTGGCCCTCTCAGGGAAAATGTTTGGGCACCCCTGCTCTAAACAATAGAATCACTTAATGGCCTACTTTCTTTCGAATTTCCATGGGAATAAGTCATGGTGGTAAACAGCAAGTTTTCTTTTACAAAGTCCCTTTTCTATTTTTTTTCTTGATATTCTCATTGTTACCAGCTTAACAGTGTTAAAACTGATTCTGAACCTGACTGAGTTTCTTGTATAAACAACTAGAAACTAATAACAGACTTTCGCTGCCACCTAGGGGAATGTTAATTACCACTGAAATTAAAACCTTTTTCGTCAGTTAGTGCACCACATTTTATATTTTGCTCTGCGGGATATCCATTTTTTGAGGTTTTCATTTACAAACTCAATGAAAATGATATATTTTTGGACACTTTATGCTGAAATAAGTAATCAGTCCTGAACACCTTGTCTGAATTCTCC